TCACCAGATTTTGGGATTTGTATATGTTGAATGGTAGTTTTTATCTATATAGTTGTTGATGTCGCTATTTAAATTATTATTTCAGTATTCCGTATATTTGTTAGGCTTAGCCAGTCATAGAGGCTAGGTTTCGTCACGACGTCTTACTGAAGGAAATTAGGGTCGTGACACTAATATCTTAGAAACTCAATAAGTTTCCTTGTGACTTGCTATAATATAATTCTTTATTCATAATCAATTTCATTCCTCGAAAATAGTACTAGATTTGCTCTTCCGGGGTTCTCAAATAATTTTGTACTATAAGATCTTTCATCACACCATCCAAGTGGTGCATATTTCCGCCACATAATACTATATTATAATTGCCATGGTTAAAATTATTATAGGCAAGACTCATTCTCTCTTTACTTTTGCATTTAATAATATTTTATAAGGTCTGAAAAAATATTTCTATTGTATCATGAGTACACGATCGATGACATATTCATGCAACCACACAATGATATTTATTTTTTTTTATTTCATTCAAACCTTCCTTAGAAGTGAGTTGTGTGGTATTCATCCAATCATGTATTGCGCATCTTTATTCATTACTTTTATTATATATTTCCACATTCACCTTCAGGAATGAGTCTGCATTCTCAATGCTTATCACAAGTTACATTTTTTTCAAAGAATGGAGCATAATTATCGTGACATTCTTTATTATTTTTTTCATACTAATTTGATGGTAAATATTACCTTCACTTTAAAGGATATATTTTGAGAACCATTATTGTTCTTCCTTTTTATAATTACCACAATGATGACTATTATTATTTTGTCATTTGCCACATCAATATTCATTCGTCAACCAGTTATCTTCATTTATACTTATTATGCATTGTTACCATATTCACTTTAGAGAATAGAGCATATCCAGTGGGATGCGCTTTTTATCTAAAGCACATTATTTTAACTTAGTCATCATAATATCATCAATATGATGCATTAGGACTCGAATCCAATGTCTTACCATTATAAAAGCATATTAAACCATAAGACATTAGGACTCTAACCCAACATCTTATTATCATGGTGCACCGGAACATGAACATGCTGTCCTACCCTCATAGTGTGCTAGGACTTGAAGGCATTTATAATACAACACAACTTCCAATAACCGTGCTTTATTAATATTTAAGAGACATAGACACTGCACTTCTGGAGTTGCTCAACAAAAGGCTTTGTTAAAGAAATTTCGTCTTCCTTATTAATTGTAAAAGAAACTATTTTCATGGTAGACAATATATGTTGATTTTTTTAGTCATATATATAAAAAAACTTTTGCATAATCAAATTTTAATAGTTTAATACGATGCACATACATTCTGGAAACTATGAAAAGTACACGTCAATCATGTATCTAATACCAAGAGATTGCAATTTATTATATCGTGAAATAAGTTATGTCTAACAACGATAAAAGCAAGGAGTTATAATCTGCCACTAGTTACTTTCTTCTATAATTTAGTTGATAATAGGACTCATAGTTATTTTCATGTAAATACAGAAAGAGACATACATACCACTATATAACATACTTTATGATCGTACCAAAAATGAAAGATCCAACCAATGCTTAGTTCTTAAATTAAATGATGGATTAAGCATTAGAAATTAAAACCGTGAAGATACAATTGCCGAAAAAAGGAACAAGTCTTAACTCTTAAAACATGAATGTGAAATCTTGTTAATTTAACTAATTCTTAAGCCAACATGTGATAAAATCCTTTAGATCTTCAAGGTAGAATAACATGCAAATGAGAAGAGTAGCTGAGAAAGAGAAGAAGAGGAAGAAGGAGTTTCTATTACTATTCGATTGATCTCAATTACAAGAGAGGAGCTGGTTATAGTTGTGGTTAGTGATTGATAGCTCATAACCTACTAACCACTTAACCGCCTAAGTTCCAGAGACTACATAATGACCCCACACTTCTAGACTTCTACAATATACACTACTATATCTATACATGTATATATTATTGTATATCAATAATCCCCATCAAGCTAGAAGGCGAAAGACATCAAACACTCCAAGTTTGGATAAGAGGAAGTGATGTTGTGCTGAACTAAGGCCTTTGGTCATAAATTTTCCAATTGTAGATTAGTGAAGATGTGTTGAGGACTGATCAAACATGGTTTGGTTTTTTTGACGCATAAAATGGAAATCGATCTCGATATGCTTGGTCCGTTCGTGAAAAATGGGATTAGCAGCTATTTATAAAGCTGCCTTGCTATCACAGTACAAAATAGCTGGGACATGAATTAGAATCTGCAGCTCCTTAAGCAATCCTAACACCAAGTGATCTTTGCAGCAGCTACTGCTGCAAGGCTTCAATATTGTGCCTAAGTTGAACTCCTACTAACTATAGGTTGTTTCTTTGATTTCCATGAGAGCAATGAGTCCTCAAGTTTGACAATGTATCCAGTCACTGATCTCCTAGCATTTGGACACCTTACCCAATCAGATCACAATAAACAAAAAGGTGATATATTGGAGAATTGTGTAGTAGAATGCCAAGACCTGGGGTACTTTAAACATATCTGACCACTCGCAGGGCAGCATACCAATGAGACTATTTGGGATGCTACATAAACTGACCTAACACTTGAACTGTAAAACATAGATCTGGTCTAGTAATTGTTAAGTAGAGAATCTTTCCAATGAGTCTTTGATAGCTTCCCACATCTTGCAATTCTGCATCTCTAATGTGACTAACATGTTTGTCATAGTGATGGTAGTAAACTTCTAATTAAGTTCCATAGGGGTGTCAACAGATTTAGCTACAACAAGTCCAATATCTCAGATTAGTTGAAGTGCATACTTCCTTTGAGTGAGCAACTCCTTTGTCTGACCTCAGAACTTCAATAGCTAGAAAATACCTAAATTCTCCTAGATGTTTCACTTTGAATGAATTATGTAATGTCTGTTTAGCTGCCTCCACAAGTGCAGTACTATTACCAGTGATGAGCAAGTTATCTACATAGACTAAGATAATGACAATATCTGATTCTGCCCTTTTGGTGAGCAATGAGTGATCATAAGGGCTCTGTGCATCTAGCTGCTAAAGGTGCCTCTATCAATTTAATGTTCCACTGTCTTAAAGCCTGCTTTAACCCATACATTGATTTTAACAACCTACACACCTTATGCTCCCTTTGCTTGTGGAAACCTTGATTCAAGCACATGTATACTTCCTCATACATATCACCCTACAGAAAAGCATTATTCACATCCATTTGGAAAAGATTCCACTCTTTAGAAGCTGCTATAGTGATGATGGTCCTGATAGGGACCATTCTTGCAACAGGTGAGAAGGTTTCATGGTAATTGGTCTTCTTGTTGTGTGTAGCCTTTGGCTACTACCTTGCTTTATACCTCTCCATATCTTTATTTGTCTTGTATTTAATTTTCAACACCCATTTTGAAGCTATAGCTCTTTTGCCAGCAGGAATATCTATCACTTCCCATGTTGCATTGTCCTTAAGTGCTTTGATTTCCGCTTCCATTGATTCCATTCATGCTTTGTCAAGACATACTTCCTTGAAGGACTTTGGTTCAGTAGTTTCTGAGAAGGACCCCAAAAAGTATTTGTAGTTATCAGAAAGATGATCATAGGTGATGAAATTGGAAATACAGTAAGGTGTTTCTTTATTTGGCATGGCTGTAGTCACTTAATCCTTGAGCCAAATGGAAGGTTTAGAGGCTCTGCTAGACTTTCTAGTGTGTACTACAGATGCTCTTCATGTGTTGTTCCTTCATATGGTTCCTCCTCTAATTGAACTTCTGGCTATTGTTGGTGATCCATATGGTCTGAACCTGGTTCCTGCATAATAGGCAGCTATGACATTTGTGCAGCTAGCTCTACTTGTGGTTCTAGTGCAACTGTTGATGAAGTTGTTGAAGGTATGACAGATGGTTCAACAGCCCTTGATGTAGTGTTGATTGCATCAGTGGCATCCCTAGGATTATCAGTAGAAATCTGATCCTGTGATTTATAATTCCAATTTCTAATCACTGACTCTTCAGGAACAACCATAACTGATTCATATGGAAATGGATCTTCACTTGTATCTAACCCTTCTTTAAAAGGAAGAGATGTTCCCTAAATATGATAGCTTTGCTTACCATGTCTCCTTTAGAGTCCAAGTCATATAACCCGCTGTCCTTCTGAGTCTCAGAGTAGCCTATAAAGACACATTTATTTGCTCTAGCTGTGAATTTATCTCCTCCTAGTAAATTGCTTGCAAAGCACAAACACCCAAACACCCTCAGATTGTCTAACTTAGCAAGCTTATTATGCAATATCTCATAGGGGCATTTCCCTTCCAATATCTCAGTAGGCAGTTTATTAATCAAATATACAACAATTTTAATGCAGTTTCCCCAAAATCTCATTGTTATTGAACTCTGAAATTTCAGGGCTCTTGCTACTTGTAAAATATGTCTATATTTTCTCTAAGTCCCATTTTGTTGTGGAGTGTATGAGAAACTGCTTTAGTGTATGATGCCAAGAGAGGCCAGTAATTTATTACATTGAGAATTAAAGAATTATGTACCATTATCTGATCTCAACACCTTAATAGTAACATCAGATTGATTTTTATTATTGTAACAAAGTTTATTATTACAATAGCTACTTCACATTTTGATTGAATCAGGCATACCAAAGTGTATATACTTTAGTCATCTTCAATGATGACAGACTAATTTTTTCTATCATAATTAGGGGCTTTATGAGATCTCCAAACATCTAGATGGACTAATTGAAAACAACTAGTAGATTTAGTACTAATAATAGGAAACTTCAACCTACATTGCTTAGCCAAAGGACAAACTTCATAGTTTTGTTGAACCTGAGAATCAACTTTATTCTTTAGTTCTAGTATATTCTCCATGGACTTTGTTGATGCATATCCTAGTCTTAGATGCCAAAGCTCAGTGTCAATTCCTTTCTTTACAAAAATCTTGATGCTGCTAGTGTTATGTTCTCTTTCAGTAGGTATAACCTATTGTTCTCTTTACCAATCCCCTTCACGCTACCACTGTAAATATCCTGAAACATACAGAAATCAGGGAAAAAACTGACAGAACAACATAGGTCTCCAATGAGTTTAGATACTGATAGTAGGTTGAACTTAAAGTCTGGCATATACAATACATTCTTGACTGTATTATTTTCTAGTATGGTTGCATTTCCTGTATGGGTATTTTTTACTTGTTTCATGTAGGTACTTGCACTCTATGTATTCCTTGGTTATAACACTTTTAATATCCCTTAAAACATCTTTACAGTAGGTGATGTGTTGCCCCTGAATCTATTACCTAATCACACAGCTGCAGTGGACAATAGAGAGATTATACCTGACATATTTGCAGAACAGTACCCTGCACTAGTCTTTGATAGCAGACTAGCCAACTGCTTGTATTTCTCTTCTGTGAAAAATTGACCTGGTGATTGAATAGCTGGCATTTCTCTCTCTTCCTTTGCAGTAGTTGTATTTACATTTGCAGTTCTTCTTGCTTTTAAAATCAGGTGGATATCCAATTATCATAAATCAATTCTCCTTTAGATGTCCTTTATACCTACAATACTCACAAATTAAGCCATGCTTTCTAGGTCTAAAGTCTTGACCTTTTCCTGCTAATATTGTAAGTGGATCTTTGTGTGAATCTATAACACCTAAGGTCTTTTGACTCTCCTCTTGACTAATTATTGTATAAGCCTCATTAACAGTTACAACCGACCTTTTTACCAATACATTGTTGTGTATATTGCTATAACTATCGTTTAATCCCATAAGGAATTGCAACAACCTTATGTTTTTCAAGTGATCTACAGAAAGCCTGGATTCCTCACAATCACAAGAGGGCAAAGGGGCCAATATATCAAGTTCATCCCATATATCCTTCATTTTTGAATAATAGCTAGTAATTGAATTAGTATCTTTCCTTAGAGTCACAATTGCAGTCCACATATGATATATTCTGGTGAGATTAGATCTGTCAGATCTCTCTTGGGAATCATTCCAAACTTTCTTTGCATTTGATGAATACACAATACTTGACATCAATTCACTCGACACTGTGCTTCCATTCCATGATAGAACAATAACATTGCATTTTTCTCATTGCTCTGCTAATTCTCTTCTATAATTTCTTTTCACACAAGTACCGTCTACAATGCCAAGCTTGCTTTTTCCTCGCAATGCTAATTTCATCGCTCTACTCCAAAGGGCATAATATTTTGGCATAGTGAGTTTGAGCGGTATCAACACGAGTTCTGGAGTGTCTCCAGCTTGTAAAAATAGTGGATGATTTTGATCAAGTGAAACAACTTTATTTTCAGCCATGGCTGCTCAAATCGGAGCTTCGTCAGTGCCTTGTTCTTCCAATTTATGGCGGAATTCCGATCAGAGCTATGAATCTTAAGACCGCTGCTCTGATACCATGATAAAATCCTTCAAATCTTCAAGGTACAATGACATATAGATGAGAAGAGCAGCTGAGAGAGACATAGAGAGAGAGAGAGAGAGAGAGAGAGAGAGAGAGAGAGAGAGAAAGAGAAGAGGAGGAAGAATGAGTTTCTATTATTGTTTGATTAATCTTAATTACATGAGAGGGACTGCTTATAGTTGTGGTTAGTGGTTGACATCCCATTCCTCTTTCATCATAAATTTTATCTGGTATCATCATAAAAGGAACTTGAATATGTTGGCAATTAAAATCTTAATTTTTACTGCCAAATTATTCCTAAAAGTGGTTAGACTAGTATTATTCATCCTAAATAATTTTTTGACGGCCTTAGACTTGTATTTATTATGAAGCCTTAAGACACAAAAGTACCTTATATATAGTAGTGATATTAAGATTCAAATTTTTGAAAGATCCTCTGTATGAGCATAATTAACAGTCACACCATTTGCTCGTGTCCAAGCAAAAAACTAGATTTTCCTTTGTTATGTCTACTTTTTGGCTAATTTAACAACGTTACAAGAAGTTCATTCATCTTCTAAGTAATTATACTGAATTACTCATAGGTGGTCTGATGGAGCCTAGCAGTATACCCAATAACTTACATCGATACATGTTATGGAGAGAGCAAGAGTGTAAAATGAGATTCAAACAGGGTATTATCACTAAGTTATAACATTAATCCAGCAATTACTAATATTCTTATAGCAAAACTTGTTTTCTACTAGTATAAAATATAGTGAAGTCATAAACCTGTTGAATTTTTATTGAATAAAATTCACTATCGAATGCTCTTTGATATTTTTTTTATGGATATTAACAATTAAGTGAATTAGAAGATGAAAGCTATTCCAATTTCGACGAGGGAGTACCAAGTGGAGATCAATCCACATACTCGGATTGACATTAGATTGATGCCTATAACTTGCAAATTGATTTAAGCATTAGCTGCAATTGATCTTTGATGAATATTATTTAGGTCGAATGTTCTTTTGTCTCAATTCTTAGAGTCTATGTAATTTATGATGTTTATTACCCAAGTGATAGCATATAAATCTCAGGGGAATACTACCACTGCAATAATTTTAAGGATGATGATATTTATCCGTTCACCTTGACATTAAACTGTCACCCTTGTAAATGCATGCCTATGTAAGGAATGCCAACCCTTTCTTACCTTCTTATCCTTGATGAAGTAGGATTTTCTTATTTTTTACCTACCACATACATAGTAAGGAATCATTATTCGGCGACATGATACATAGGAACCTCTTGATCCCTGATTTCTTTGAAGCGGGTGAATTATATTTTTAGCATGACTCAATATTTATATGGATGTTTGTCACGACCCAAATTTTGCTCCGTAAGATTTCGCAACGGAACCTAGTCTCTAAAACTAGGTAAGCCTAACAATTTTAGAATAACCGAAATAATAATAGAAATAACGACTGAACTTTGCAGATATATATAATACTGAAAACTGCCGCTCGTCATATACAAGTGAACCAACAGCTCGCGTATAAACAACTCCCAAAACCTAGTAGGAATAAGTCACAAGCTTCTAAGAGAAATTTTAAGTGTCTCTATACATCAGAGTCTAAGGAAATACAGAATAACAACATAGTAGGATAGAGGGGGGACTCCGAGGAGGTACCTCAGGAGCTCCCCTATTGCATATTTACTTTTGGGACTACGACGCGGTATCTCGGGAGCTTCCCTGTTGAGTATTTACTTTTGAGATTACGAGGCGGTACCTCAAAAGTGGCCCTATTGTTTACCCCTATGTGCTGTGCTGTTACCTTTCTGTAAATTTCTTATTGTTAACCTCTCACTCTTTTCATTATATTGTTATATCTTCTGCCTTATTTATTATATTCTAGTAGGGCCCTGACCTGACCTCGTCACTACTCTATCGAGGTTAGACTTGGCACTTGCTGGGTACTATTGTGGTGTACTCATTCTACTCTTCTGCACATATCTTTTGTGCAGACCCAGGTACCTCCTACTAGCCCGATACCAGTAAAGTGTGTGCTGCTACCCGGAGACTTAAAGGTATATCTGCCAGCATCCGCAAACCTTGGAGTCCCCCTCTATTATGTTGTATTTTCATATTTTCTCTCTTAGATGTTGATGTATAGAGACAATTAATACATTCCTTAGAGCTTGTGACTTGTGACTACCGGGTTTTGGGAGTTGTTTATATGTGACTTGTTGGTTTACTTGTATATGCTGAGCAGCAATTTTCAGTATTATTTATATCTGTGAAGTTTAGTCGTTATTTCTGTTATAATTTCAGTTAATCTACAATTGTTAGGATTACCTAGTCATAGAGACTAGGTACCATCACGATATCTTACGGAGGAAAATTTGGGTCGTGACAAGTTGGTATCAGAGCACTAAGTTCATAGGTGTTATGAGTCACAAGCAGTTTTAGTAAAGTCTCATGAATCGGTACGAAGACGTCCGTACTTATCTTCGGGAGGCTATGGAACTATTAGGAAAATTTCACTTCTTTGATTCCTTGTCGTGCAAAATTATTGATTCGGAATTCTAAACTTCTATCTTCTATTCTCTCATAGATGTGAGGACATGTACAACTGATACACTCAAATTACACTTTAATTAAATAGTGTAAGGCGGTCGATGTCAAATATAATAACCCTACTAGGTTGGGGTCGAATCCCACATGGAATATGGTGTGAAAAGATTACTTGAGTAGTGTGAAACTTGACTTAGGTCGTAATTCTATTCCTTTAACATAGCAAGAGAATGATATAGTTGTGAATTAAGAAGATAACTAATTGTGTTATGAGAATGTGAATAATTTGATTAAGGAAACCAAGGTTGTGTCCCCGTCAATGAAATGTAATGCTATCGGTGTTAATATGATATATTTCTAATGGAGGGTCCTTCGATATGCAAATGGTTTCTAAATGACTACCCAATATTTTCCAATGGTTGGGGTAGTATTTTCCCTTTATGATTTTTCCAAATATAAAAGAGTTGCAATTTAAGAACAACCAATTTATACCAAGTAGAACATACTTATTCCTAAGTGATTCTATTAAACAAGATTTAAAGTCTTGAGTTCTTAATATTCAATTCTACCAAACCCTAATCCACTTTTCCAACTCAAGAAAGAGTAAAATGGAATAGATTAATGTTTGCAACCACTAACCATAAATAAAGAACAAGAATTGAAAAAATATTAACCAACCATTATATATATATTCAATGTTAAACAACCATTAACATTACACCCATCTAGGGTCCACAACCTTAGTATTTAAAACTAGCTACTCATGCTAAAATTCAAGAACAAAGTATTTAATAAAGTCATAAAGCTTACAAAAGTGCAAGATTCCTTCTTCACAAGCTTCCAAATTAATGGAGTATTCAATGCTCTCTATGTATGACCTTTTTCAGACTTGAATGACCCACAAAAACCCTAGTTATTCTTTTTATAGTGGACCAAAAGTCGTGGTCAAAATTAGACAAAAATGCCCCTTTCAGATAGCTTATGCGATCGCATAATGGTCACAGACCACGTATGCGGTCCGCATACTCTTCATTCTCATTGCAGACTTAATAAGTCACTAGTTTCAACTTCCGCCACATATTAATTATGCGGTCCGCAGGTGTATTATGCAACCGCATATGCCATCGCAAATCATGTTAAGAAGCTTCTTCTACTGAAATTATGCGACCATTATGCGGCTCGCAAAAGTGTTATGCGACTGCATAATGGACCGCATATTATTCTTTTCATTTGGCCAATAAGTGTGTTTCAGTTTGCGATCAACATCTGAGTTATGCGGTCCGCATGTGAATTATGCGATTGCATACTTATAGCATTTCCATTCTTTTGTGACCTTTTGACTTCTTTTCCATATTTTTGGGTCTTCAAGCTCATGCACTAAAAACAACCAAACTTGATCAGAATTAACTAAAAATGCATTAAAAGACGAGTTAAAATCTAAGTAATTGGTATCAAATGTGCCGAAATTCTACGGCACATCAACACCCCCAACTTAAACTTTTGCTTGTCCTCAAGCAACTAAAACAAAATTATCCTATTCGATGCTACTTCTATTTCTGACATTCCACAAAACAGTAATGACTATAGATGGTTTTGACTGATATCTAACAAGCATGTAACTCCATTTATTTGCCCTTCCTAGAAGACAACTTATAATTCAACCATTCGACTAATCAACTCGTTGTCACTCCCCCTTTTTCTTAAAAAAATGAAATTGGGCTTGTGACATTTGGGAGGACAACTCGTTCCCTTTTGGGAATTAGGTTTTGGAATTTAAAGCGTCGCCACCTAATGATTAAGTGCATTATAACACTAAGAAGGGTTTGAGTTTGAAGAACCAGAGTTTGGGTAAGGGCTAGAAATTATCTCTATGGGAAGGTGTTAGGCACCCCTCAAGATCCACTAGTGTGGTTCCCAGCCATGTTACAATTGTGACTTCACATAATCAAATAAGTAATTAAGGGCCTCAAATGGAAGGGGATTTTCACATATTATTGCAAGAAAATTGAAAGTTTGAAGAGAATAAAGAAAGCAAAAATTTTAAGGAAATAGTTCGGACAATAAACAAGTTAAAAAGAAAGGGGGTCCTAGGTTTACAAATAATATGGATCACATCAATGCAATACCCGGTAATCACTCCTCAAAAGAGGGGTTACATGTGGTATTAGCGCACCGGTCATCATATCCATATCTATCCTTTCCCACCCCGTCAAGGTATTAAGCGCGGAATAGTATCGTTTCTTATTGCATGCTAGTACTCGCCCCAATCCTATCAGTCCCGGAAGCATTTGGGACTACTAGTCCTAAAGGGAAGGGAGATTTGGCTTTTCAGAATTTTAA